ACCTTCCATTCTTCATAATTTTAATAATATAGACCGTGTTGTATTTTCGTGTGGACTAAGTGTAAATTTTAATAAACATTTAATTAGTGTGCAAGGTGTCGTATTTCATTTATTATCCGAACACCGACGGCGCCTACTCAGGTACTTACTTACCTTTACCACATTACGCTACGCGTCCGGACGACGACGCATACATACTTATCCACATCCATACGGGAGACAACAATTCGCGTCTATAGGAGCAGAGAGCTAGGCTTAATAATGTCGAGATCAAGGGCGTTCCTGTAAGGAAGAACGAAAACCTTTTTACAATCGTCGAGAACATCTCCCAGAGGCTGGGCGTGTCCTTTTCCAGGGCAGACATCAACCATGTTACGAGGGTACCTACATTTGGATCGGCTGACAAACTCATCATAATAAACTTCCACAATAGGTACACAAAGGAAGATTTTGTCGCCGCTGCTCGTGCACTAAAATTTCTTAATGCCCAGGACATTGGTATTACTGTTTCTAATCGTATTTTCGTGAATGACCACCTGACTCGTGATTCGAAACAACTTCTCACAAAAGTGAAAACATGGGCCAAAAACAAGAATTTTAAGTACATTTGGGTTAAGTTCTGTAAGATCCATGTGCGAAGATCTGACTCGTCTCCGGTTATTATAGTACATACAGAGGCAGATTTAAACAAATTGACTTAGCTTGTGTCTTATTATTACTTTTTGTATTCTGTATTATTTTCTATAGTAACTTTTGGTTGCAAATTCACATGTCACTGAACGTAGGTTATGTACACTTATTAATTATAATCGTGGTCCAAATGTTTACAACACATGTTGTTATTCACTGGCCGGCGCCTCGCCTTTTGCCGCTATTGTTCTCATATCTCGTTGCTTGTCTGTTTGAGGTTGTCATTACTGATATATATTTGTCTTGCTTTCACGAATGTATTGCATATCTACTACTTATTAACGCTGATCTAGTGTGTCAGGGGTTTATTGGTACTTGTTATATTCTTCGACTATTTTTATACTACCTACAATTTAATTTAATTTACTATTTTCACTTTTACTATTTAATGTCTAGAAATTACCACAGCGTAATATTAATTTTACTTACTATGCTATTAACTATTTTCTTACAATGGACAATGAATCAGTCCTGAATAGTATTCATATCTACTACCAAAATGTTCGTGGACTTCGGACGAAAGTTCTTGAGTTTAGCCGTAACCTGCTATTGTGTTCTTATGATGTGATTATTTTAACTGAGACTTGGTTGACTGATGGCATCTTAGATAGCGAATTATTTAATGAACATTATACAGTTTGGCGTAGGGATACGGAAAGTGACCTTACGGGTCAATCTCGGGGTGGCGGTGTTTTGATTGCGACTCGTGTAAAGATTTAAAAGTTAGTTTGCAGCCGTCATTTAACTCATCGGTTGAAGATTTGTGGGTTACACTCATCGTTAAGTTGAAACGTGAAACTATTAAATTGCATATATGTGTATTATATTTATGCAAACAGGGTTCTAGGTTTTCTTTCTCTGAACAATTAACTAATTATCTTACGAAACTCACCAACATTGTTTTGGATAATTCACTTGATAAATTCCTACTTGTTGGTGATTTTAATCTGAGCGGAATTACGTGGCTGCCGTCTAATCTTGGTTACTTTACACCTTATAATGCTCGTAGTAGTGATGAATTATTGCTTGTGGATGAAATGCATATTCACGACTTTGCTCAGTATAATGGGATAACTAATAAGGATGATAGGATTCTGGATCTAGTTTTCTCAAATGAATCATTGGTTGTGAGTAAGTGTGTTGATCCAATGGTCCCGATTGATCCGTATCATGAGGCTCTTGGTATTACGTTCAAATGTATTGAACTTGTAACTCTAAGAACTGCACCGCGCACTAACTATCGATTCAATAAAGGTGATTATTTGTCAATTAATAGAGAGCTTAATAATATTGACTGGTGTGTTGAGTTTCAGTCAAGATCTTTGGAGGGCTGTACTGATTATTTTTATGAGACAGTTAACGACCTTAAAGAGAGATATGTACCATCTCGCATGACTGGCTCTGATCATTACCCAGTCTGGTATTCAGCTGCTCTTAAAAAAGCTATCAAAGAAAAATATAAATATAAACGTAAATATTCAAACTATGGAAATAAATCTGATCTAAACTCTTTTAATGTGCTTCGGGATAGGGTTAGAGTACTGGAAACCAATTGTTACAATGATTATATTGACTCTCTTGAAATTTCAATAGGAAATGATCCTAAAAAGTTCTGGTCTTATGTTAAATCAAAGTCTAAGTGTAATTCAATGCCAGGATCTGTCTCGTATAACAATGTGATCTCAAGTTCGGCTAAGGGAGTCTGCAGTGCATTTTCTAACTATTTCCAATCTACTTTTCTTGACTGTGATATCGCTGTTAATCTGACACCTAGAGTAGCCGATGAGCATTTTACCGCAACTTCTCACTTAAACAACATCTACTTGGACCAAGCCGAAATACATAAGTTAATTCTTAATCTTGATCTATCTAAATCAGCTGGTCCAGACCAGTTGCCTGCCAGATTTATCGTTGGTTGCTCTGATAGCATAGTTTTGCCAATATACCTTCTTTTTAAGCGTTCTTTACATGAGTGCACTGTTCCAGCAACATG